CAACATAAATTTTGCGAAATACGTCAAAATATTGGAGGAAGGACTCTTGCCACTTTTTTCCTCGGGTTTCGTATACAAGAACACAACGTTGTTCCAGGAGGATGGAGCAGCGTGTTACACTGCTAGAAACACCCAAAAGTGGCAAGAAGAAAATGGTATCCAGAAGTTGCCCTGGCTGAGCCAATCTCCTGACAAGCAAGTCAAGAAACAACAAAAAAAAACCAACTTCGAAGAGCGATCTACTCCAAGTTTTGAAGCAAGAGTAAGCGAAAATCCCACAATCTAAAATTGACAAGATGATTCTCATGATGCCCCAAAGGATCAATGAACTCCACGAAGTGAAAGGAAGATCTACTAGATATTAATTAAATTATAAATATTTCAATTCATATGAATATGACTGAAAAATTTCATTTTTTCTGAAGAGGTGGTGTCTAGTTAGTTGTGACCACGCTGTGTATATATACATATACCAATTTATAATGCTTCGTTGGCTTTAACAATAAGATTGAAGGTTTATAACCCTTAAATGCAGGGTTTTATAACTTATGGACACAGTGCAGATAACAATGCTTAGCTTAGGGCTTAGAAACAATAAATAAACAATGAATCAAAGTAATTGGTGTTGTTTGTTCATTGTTCAGCTGAGAAGTGTTAAACTGGTGTTAAGTTGAAATTAAACGTTAGTGTTTTATTATTTGATTTGTTTGACATTCTAATTTTATATGGGATTTTTTCCATTGAGTTATAACAGAGCAGTTTGGGTCATTGAAAAGTAGCCTAGAATTAATATTTGTGTGTGTGTGTGTGTGTGTGTTCATACCAGTTATTCTGTTTGCAGTTGATGCTGTATATAATCTTTAAAACATTTCTCATTTTCTCACATGTAGGATAGATGTGGCCCACCTGATCATGTTCAACCTTACTATTCAAAACAACAAAAAATATTTTGACATTGATGCTTCCATCATCTCTTTCCTGAATTCTAATTGGTTATTATTTCAACTTCAAGGAGAGGTTGGTGTGACATATTCCTGGTACTTTTTTTTTCATACTTAACATTACATAAACTGATAAAAGAAATATCCTACAGCAGTTAATATAAAATCATTACAGTGTTCAGGTACATTTTCACTAGGTAAGTTACAAGTAATCTGAAATAAACAGAATATTTTGAAAGTATTAATCAGAGAATAAATCAAACTTGGACAGGAAAGGAAAAGAAGCAAATACAACTGTATAAATAAACTTTTTAGTCCTAGGAAAAGGGTTGTCCTTTGAAACTCACTTGACCGGTTTAGTATTCTGTTGCTATATTGGTTTCTGACTGCTGAAGCAGAGAGGGATTTCTTCAGTTGTGAAGCAGTAGTAATTTTCGTTTTAACCTTGGCTTTGAGTGAAGCAGTAGTAATGATGATACAATGTTAACGCTTTTGTTACGGACAGTTCAAAGAATTCATGTAATATCATTTTAGAGAGTTATTTTCAAAATTTAATTAAACAACTTTATTACCAAATTATATCAATACAACTGGTATCAAAATGTAGTTTATAATTCACATTTTAATATATGTGGTGATTTATTGATTTGAAAGAAAATAGCTAATAAAAGCCAAATATAATTTTTTTTGGGTCAGTCTATACTTTCTTACACCATACAACTTATATAGTGGTTAATGAATTAGAAACTGAACATAAGGCATGTCTTCTTGTTCTATTGATCAGACCATATAAGTTGTATGGTAGATGTAATAAAATATAGACTTATGTTCAGTTTCTAATTCATTAACCATCACCACTATAAAACTTTAGAGGATGAAAAATACAAAATATAATGAGTAGTACTGTTTTGTCCTCTTTACTATTGATCACGAAGTACTTCCCCAGAAATTTTTTCTTCTAACCTTTTCGTATCTATTTCCTATGCTTATTTTACTGTTAGAAGTTGAAGTAGAAACCTGCTGATGATAAAGTCATGAATCACTGCATCTGCCATTAGACTGTTTACATAACAATACAATACCATCAGTAACAAATAAGCTCATGCGATGCAATTACCAGAACTTTCCTGCAAATTTTATTGTAATCCTGTCTTCAAGAGCACAGTGGGGGAGGATTTGTTGGCTTGTTTATAGGACAGTGGTTGCAATGAGAATTTCCTAAAATTATCAAATTGAGAGAAAATATTTATGGTGTAACTCTACAAAGTCCTGGCCATTCCAGTAAACTTGGTAAGTATTTGGATGTCATCCTTCCGGGGTGGTTGAAATTTATAGGTATAGGTGTACAAAGTGTGTAATTGTTTATGAACATACATAAATATACCTATATTATTACTATTTACTCAATCTTTAATTTTTATTTATCTTTCTTAAAACATAACAAAATAAATAAAAAATATTTATTAAAACAATGGTTTCTAGTACTTATGATGTTACAGAACTGATTAGTATTCACTCATTGTACTTGCTAAGCCTTGCCTTAAGCCTCATTTATTCTCTAGTGGATGGAGAAGATAACTTAATTTTGTATATTTCAAAGATGCATTTTAGAAAACCAAAAATTATCAAATTCCTATACTGGTATGGATAAAACCACTGTAATTTATATGGCTTTCTAAATAAAGTATATGTGGGTTAAAAAAATCTCATTTCTGTTCAGAGCAACAGCTTACTAGACATTCTTCAAAATTTCCAGTCAAATACAAGTTTCTCCTTCAAGGCCCAGCATGACCAAGTGGTTAGGGTGCTCGACTTACAATCTGAGGGTCATGGGTAGAATCCCCTTCCCACCAAACATGCTCGCCTTTTCAGCTGTGGGAGCATTATAATGTGACAGTCAATTCCACAATTCATTGGTAAAAGAGTAGCAACAGAGTTGGCAGTGGGTGGTGATCACTAGTTGCCTACCCTCTAGTCTTACATTGCTAAATTAGGGATGTCTAGCGCAGATAGTCTTCGTGTAGCTTTGTGTGAAATTCTAAAAAAAACTTTCTCCTTCAAGCCAGTCACAAATGACTGTCAGATATATGTAGTTTGAAATGTGCTCTTTATGTTGTTATAAACATGCACTTAAGTGATTTCAAAAGAATGGAGTAGTGGGTGGGGCTACCCTCGTGGTTTCAAAAAGATGTGAGGTACTCATGTTGTTATTCTATCTTCTAAATGTGTGAAGTTTCAGTTTCTAATTCATTAACCACCATATAAGTTGTATAGTAGATGTAATAAAATATAGACTGATCAACAGAACAAGAAGACATGTCTTATGTTCAGTTTATAATTCATTAACCACCATATAAGTTGTATGGTAGATGTAATAAAATATAGACTGATCAGTAGAACAAGAAGATATGTCTGATGTTCAGTTTATAATTCACTAACCACCATATAAGTTGTATGGTAGATGTAATAAAATATAGTGATCAATAGAACAAGAAGATATGTCTGATGTTCAGTTTATAATTCATTAACCACCATATAAGTTGTATGGTAGATGTAATAAAATATAGACTGATCAGTAGAACAAGAAGACATGGGAGGGCAGTCAAACTGACTGATTCTGTATAAAGTAAGGGTTATAGAAGATAACAGATATTCATCCTTTAAAGTTTTATGGTGGTGACGAGGGCAGTCAAACTGACTGACCCTGTATAAAGTAAGGGTTATAGAAGATAACAGATATTCATCCTTTAAAGTTTTATGGTGGTGATGAGGGCAGTCAAACTGACTGACCCTGTATAAAGTAAGGGTTATAGAAGATAACAGATATTCATCCTTTAAAGTTTTATGGTGGTGATGAGGGCAGTCAAACTGACTGACCCTGTATAAAGTAAGGGTTATAGAAGATAACAGATATTCATCCTTTAAAGTTTTATGGTGGTGATGAGGGCAGTCAAACTGACTGACCCTGTATAAAGTAAGGGTTATAGAAGATAACAGATAATCATCCTTTAAAGTTTTATGGTGGTGATGAGGGCAGTCAAACTGACTGACCCTGTATAAAGTAAGGGTTATAGAAGGTAACAGAGAAAATAAATAAATATATAAAATGTTATGGAAAAAAACAAAATGTTTATCTACTTAGGAGGTTTTAGAGATTATGTACATGAACTCCAAGAATGATTCCATATATTCTAAAAATTCTAACTTTTTTTTTGTCTACAAAAGACTTGTAATGTTTACTAAAAGCTTGAAAAATTTCATGAAGACACACAAAACAAATTAAAAGTTATAATATAGAAACTGATGGTTACTTTGGGGTCACGTGGTCAGTGTAATCCATCGTTAACCACTCATCCCACATATTTTCTTAAACAAGATATTTTATTTGTATACAAAAATTGGACTCAAGTAAAATTACTGGGATTAACCACTAAATGAATACCATATTTTTCGGTGTATAAGATGCACTTTTTTACCCCAAAATCTGCTTGTGTCCTATACACCGAAGGTATGAATAATATATATGTATATATACGATATACATAAGCCACGTGTTATTTATAACAATAGTAGTTTTTCTTTTCTTTTAAAAACATAACTATTTATAATTCTCCCTAAATAATAAAAAAATAAATTACTGTGAAAGCAATGAAGAATTTGTAGG